GCCTCACCCAGGCGGGAGCAGTCATTCGATGATTTTCCCCCCTTAAAAAAAAAATACATGTAATAAAATCGTAGAAAAGTCAAAACTGTACATTGAATATTTTATAAAAGAGTACTGGTGCGTGATCTGCTATCGATACCAAAGCCAAAAATAAGATTTTTAGAATTTTTGTCTGTAGGTATGTATGTCCAGGATGATTTCAAAAAGTTCTGCATAGATTTACTTCAAATTTTACATAAATATTCCTAACAGGTCGAGTCAACATATTTGCTACATATTATCACGATAATTATCATCTATGGGGGAGGGGCCTTATACTAGGTACTGAATCAATTCTGACGACATTCGTTACCGCAGAATATCCCTTGATAAAGACTAATTCAAAAGCCTAAATTCTGCCAGAAGTCATTTACTACGCGGACGAAGTCACAGGCAACAGCTAGTCAAGAAAAATACCTACCTATTTAAAAGCCTGAACTTAATCTAGTAATATAAGCATATCACTAAACTTAGCCCGTATTATAACTATGTTCTTGATCTACGAGTTAATGAATCGCTTTCGTATAACTATGTTACGGTATATGTATATGTATAATTATCTCCCTAGAGTTTCACTATTACGGCTTTATCTATCTTACTGCTACATATACTTTTCTATCAAAAACGGCTCAATGCATGCCTAGAACTTTAGCCACACACACACACACACACACACACACACACGCACACACGCGCGCGCGCGCGCGTCAATAAATAAAACCACTTCTTACCAGTACCACAGTTCAACAGAGGTTTTTGTCCGCATAAAAGGCAAATTCCTAGAACAGTTTTCAATAATGTATGGTGCATTCTGGACTTACCCGGTGGGAACTAGGACTGGATAGTAGCAGTTGGTAGCTAGTAACTATATACTGGGTGCTGGTAGCGAATCAATTGTTAATGTAGCGAAGGCGACAGCTGTAAGCCTCGTTAATGTTAAATTGTCTAAGGGTGCTTGGAATGCAAGCTTGAAGCCTATGTTTTCAGTTCGTATTACACTGTAATGAGAAACTTTGCATTTTATCTTTGCATGTATGTCAAAATCGTTTTGATATCGAGTGTACTGTTTATTTCATGCCATGAACAAAATTGATTGTCTGCAATGGGGTAGATACCTAATTTTTATTTTAATCTCCATCTGGTAGATTATTTTAAATGATTAGACACGCATTTTTTATTTTCTTACAGAAACGAATACTTTCGACGATACATTGATTTGAAATGTCGCGTGACGTCACTTCTATGTACATTTTATACGTAGAATAGAAATGACGTTTTAGCCCCCACTCCTAAACTTTGATTAGTTTTATTTACGTATTGTTTCATTATACGACAAAATAAAAACACACGTGTCTAATATTTTTCATTACCTAACTTACGGACTAATTAGATTTTTAATTTTCATACCCTGTCATCATCACAATTGGAAAAGAACCATAGTCAAAAATTTTTGCAAAACTAATAATTTGTCGAAAATTGGTTGAAATAGATATATCTCCACATCTGCCTATAACTAAGACAGCACACATAAGATCATGTTATGTTGAAAGAAATCAATGCTGCCTACGTAGCAAAAAAATTAAATTGGGTACATTAATTTCCCAGAGATCACCATATTTTAATCAAATGAATAGAAGTTTTCAATACAATTTCCACCCGAGTTAATATGTAATTATAAGCCTGTCAGATTTTATAATTACTTTTCTGACAGAGGTAATTTAACTTCGTCAAACACAGTAGCTATACTTACAAAATTTAGTAAATACAGAACAAAATGGTATGACACGGTTTAGGAAGGCAAAACGAGTTTGAGTCTATGGATGAAAACCATTATAGATCTAAAATCTTATATTATCTTCTTTCTTTATTATTAGGATCTTCTTTTCTTGGTCTTAGTTTAGGTTGTCAAATACGTGTAAACCTTAGGAACTTCTTTATATAACGATGGTATTCTCTCCGCAGTTGACAGAAAGTCCAAAATTGCATAATAGGGTAGATGCCTCATTTTTATTTTAATGTCCGTCTGGTAGATTATTTTAAATCATTAGTCACGTATTTTTTATTTGCTTACAGAAACGAATACTTTCGACGATAATTATATTGATTTGAAATGTCGCGTGACGTCACTTCTATGTATGTACATTTTATACGTAGAAGTGACGTTTTAGCCCCCACTCCTAAACTTTGATTCATTTTATCTAAGTATTGTTTTATTATATAACAAAATAAAAAAAATACGTTTCTAATATTTTTTCACTACCTAACTTACGAACTAATTATCTTTTTAATTTTCATATCGTGTCATCATCCCAATTGCCTGAAGTTGGATAAATCTTTAAAGGGGATGCAGAAATCGTATCTCATAGAAGAATTGGTAAAATGATACTCTTATTTTTCTGTAAATTATTCAGGCAAGCTACAATAATGTCTTCTTTATTCGTTTTCCACACAAAATATACAAATCTATTGATATAAATGCTACAAAAAACCTCAATATTAAACTTTAAATTACCATACGTTTAATGAGCAAAGGTTTCGTGTCGATTAATCACAGTCGACCGCCGTCCACTCGGTTCACGTGTTTGATTCCCGCTCCAATACACAGGTCTATTTATATTGTATAGGTACTGGGTTAGTCTAAACATAGTTTGCCTACCCTAGTTTATGCTTTCATGCTTTAAGAGCAGGCTGTATCAAAGGGAACTATTGCTGTCTTGAATGTGGCGTTAAAATGCGTCTTTTATTTTGATTTTTTACATCTTTGAAGTATAATTTAACGCTGGTTACTCTCATAAGGCACTCAAACATCTTCATTATTGTTAATTTTGTAAGTAATGTTACGCTACAATACATTTTAAACCCCGAATTCTTAAACAGACTTAATATTTGTCCAAAGATCTAAGATTATTATTAACAGGCTTAAAAAAGAGGTTCTTAGTTTATGTATGTATGTTTGTATGTTTGTGCGCTATTATCTCACGATTGGCTGAACCGATTTTGGTGCGATTCAAAAAACTGTTCGTTACACTTATAAGGTAGTATAGTAATTAACCGACTTCAAAAGGGTTAAATTCGGTTTTATTAAACTGTCAAACACCAAGCGGTCACCAGTGACCGCAACCTACAGTTCTATAATTGTGTCTACAAATCCGGTACTCAACGAGTTAATAGTAATTTTAAAAAGAATTATTTATTTAACTAGTCACTATAGGTAGGTACCTACTTATTAGCAAAGACAAAAAAAATCTCCTTTGTATTCGACATAATATAAGAATGGGTGTAAAAAACCGCTCACGAAAACTAAGACAGGTGCAAATTCTGATGGTAACGAATCGAATACCACTAAAAAAACGACTTTTATTTATTAATAAAAAAAATCGATTTTGTTATGTAACATTAGCCATGGGTACATAATTACATCTGTTATTATTACACAACAAAATACATTTAATTCCTTACTTTTTCAAAATAATCAATGTAACCGAAACAAAAATCAGCTGACGCTAGAGGTCAACGTATGAATCACGCGAGCTGCGGCCCGCGCCTCTCGCGCCTGCGGCCGCCCGCACTGTCGCGTCGGCCGGTAAGTAGGAACAAACGGCAAAGTGGGCAGTCGACGATCATTAGGCAATATTCGCATGCACTCGGCGCGAGCGACCAAAAGGATAATGCCCGGTGGATAGGGAGTTTGCCACAGGTATTTGTTTAAAAAGTGTGCTACTGTAAACTTTGTCGAAGTACCAAACGAGCGTAGAACTTTAGCTACACGCTTTCTCTGTGTGAGCGTGTGTTCATCCAATCGAAAGTACATTTGAAGTAGTAGGTAAATCGGTGAAGTTAACGGATCTCGGTAAAAAATAAAAACCTACGTAGGTACTCATTAAACCTACCTAACATACTCATCACTTCACTTACGGACCGTAAGTTGTAAGTGACAAACAACAACAACTTTCTAACTTACCTAGTTCTTGATTCATGTCAGTAGGTAGTATTTTCTGAACTACCGACAACACATTACAATGTGTAACTGTAAACATTGATCAATGTCGATATTAAATTCTAAACTAATTAATTAACCAGGTGATTAATTGAATAATCATAATTATTTTGTCCAACTTCCCATACTATCACTTACGTAAAGTAAACAATACGACGAGGGTGAATCTTGCGATAGTACCTACTGCTACTAGCCGCGCCGGCGCCATGCGGCCAGGCTGCCAGGCAGCGCACGCATAGTACTATGCCTGTCTAGAGAGAGACAGCACGCATTTCTTGATGAGGCGTGAAAGAGATAGCGTAGGACTCCACCAAATAACGAATGATAAAATAATGTCAAAGAGTAGAAATTAATATGCAGAGGTGACAATCCAATACGCTTGCAGTTTTTTAACATGCCATAGTTAGGTAATTGATTTAGGTACGCATGTTTTTAAACATTGTAAGTAATTAAAGTAATAGTAAAATTAAATTCAATAATTATTCTGCAAAGGATATTTTTTATTTACGGTTGCACCTACATATCCTAGTTTTAAATGGTAATTACGATTCTTGGTGAATTAATTTATCTTCGAGTGGTTTATGAACAACCGGCAATCAGTTAAAACTACTCTTAGGCCTTTAACGCGATTTACTTAAATACGTTTTTACATCCCGAACATGAGTACCTACAATTCTAAGTATTTTGTAGGTACTTAGGTCACGGCATAGGTCTCACACACACCTAAAGTACTTACATTCGTACAAATAAATTCTTCTTGTAAAAATCATTATGAACATACCCACACACATCCTCCCTCATTACAAAGGACTTTACATTTAAAATTTTCTTCTTTGATCTTTCTTGTGATCAAAGCCAGACCGGTGGGCGCCATTTTTTGTCGTGTGCTTCCGTCACTCGTCAGTTCCTCGTTGAAGTTGAATTACATGCGCGCGCGTTGTTTCCGAACTTTCCGTGATTTTCTGTTTCTTGTTAAGTTTTTATAATCATTTTTAGTTATTACGTTGTTGTTACGTTTTTTTGTTATTGTTATTGTTTTGTTCGTGATTAATTGTTATTGAGTGTGATTTGGATACTTTATGGAGTTTTTTTGTGATTAACAATGCCTAATGCATACGTGTACAGTGCTCGTGAATACGGCAACATGTTAATGTATTTAGGAGAAGCTCGTGGGAATGCTTCTCGAGCTCTAAGACTGTATCGAGAGAGATTCCCGAAAGTCTGATTCTCGTCTTATTACGGCAGCATTCCAAAGAGTGTTAGAAAACCGTCCTATAGCACTCGTGGCGGGAGGGGGACCAGCGGACAGAGGAACGAATCTTAGGAGTCGTTCGGGAAAATCCGCGTCTCGGTACTCGAAGCGCTGCTAAGTAAGTTCGGCGGCGCGGGCGGCGGGATGCAACTGTTTCACACTCGCTAGTACATAAAGTACTACTACGACGAAACAGAATGCGTCCGTACAAAATTCATAAAGTACAAGCTTTGGCGCCCTGTGATCGCGAGCGTCGTCGTGTTTATTGCCGGTGGCTAATACAGCAGCAGCGGCGGATACCTAGGTACCTACCTGGTTTCATTTAGCACGTTATTTGAACGGACGAGTCCACTTTTACTAGGAATGCGTTATGGAATAGACGGAGTGCTCATTTGTGGTCAGAGACTGGACAATGGACATCAGACTCGCTGGTCCGTCAACGTGTGGGCTGGTATTTACAATGACAGAATACTGGGACCGGTTTTTCTGCCACAGCAAGTTAACGGACCACGTTATCTCGAATTTATTAACGAACAATTAGTTGACATGCTAGATGACTTGTCCCTCGCAGAGTATCGTTTAACGTGGTTCCAGCGTGATGGTACGCCCCCCCACGTTGTAAGGTCTGTCCGTGACCGTCTCACCGAGCTGTTAGACGATCGATGGATTGAAAGGTTTAGATCACATGCTTGGCCACCCCGCTCCCGCTCACCCGGTTTAACCCCTTTGGACTTTTTTTGTGGGGGTATGTGAAGGAACGAGTTTTCGATCGCGAATGTGATAGTGCTGATGAAATGCGTCGTGTCGTCGTGATTCATAGTGACGGTTTTTAACAAACTGCGCGCGGATTGTGTTCAAGATCCCAATTTGATGGCTCATCTTCACGACGAGATTCACCGCCGAGCACAAGTGTGCCTGGACGTGAATGGAGCGCAATTTAAGCCCCACCTTATTCGACCGCGAAGGATTTAGAGCCATGTGAGTAGTTTAATATTATACCTAGCTTTAATTATTTGTATCGACGCAAACAAGATCGCTCGCATGCGAGCTACCGACCGACATTTACGCGCTTTCGTTGTGCGAACTTATCGAGTTGTACGCTTTACATTGCGGGTTTTTAAAATACCAAATCATTAGTACGTAAAGATTGAAACGAACGGTTTTTGGTATTCACTAGTGTTAAGGTAATATATTATTAGGGTTTCGGTTTCGTGAGCGTTCTCAATGCACCCGTATAATATTAAGAAGTAAGTATCTAATACATTTAAGTACTTAAGTAGATACTTCTAATAATTAAAATACCTATTTTACAATTTTGAGTGACGATTTTGAGAACTAAGATATTAGGTTAATTTTTAGACAAATACAATCCAAGTAAGATAAGTTAAGAAACTACATGTTATTTAACATTTTTAACAATATTTAACAAATACATGTTATTTAACATTTTTAACAATATTTAACAAATACAGCTGAATCGTAACTGTCATTGAGTGAACCAATAAAATGTAACTAAGTAGTTCCATTCTTCTCCTAATCCACACGACTGTACCGTTTTTCTACGAAACATCTTAATAGCTACGAAACATTTTCTTCAAGGAAAATTCAATTTTTAGTATCAAAGTTTAAAGCTGAATTTGCATTATTAAGTTGGAACTTGATAGCCTGCCAAACGCAGAGAATCAATAAGTTTATTTGGCTATGAAGATATTGTAAGAAGCCAGAAGAAACACTGATGGGTTGATGTTGAAATTGTTTTTGTTTGTTTCTTTTTGAATGCTCTTAATTATTCTGTTTATTAATAAAACTTATATTGACTTTATTCAAGATGAGATAAGAATGATTAAATTCACTATTAACTTTTTTAATTTTGTTAGCTTTATGAGCGATCTTAAGGTGTCGAAGGCAAATCAAGACCTTTCATCAAATTTTTTCAATAAAACAAAATAGATTTTGTCTTTAGGAGTACCATTTAGGTGTACCATCATTTATGCACCTACCTATAATGTTTATACTACGATTACTCTTATTTACATTAAAAACCACGTAACTAGAACAATTAAGTGCACAGTAATTATACTGTTTCCATTAGGAAACAAAAAGATAATCTCAATATTTAAACCAATTCTCAATTCATTTTGATTCTTAACACTTTAAGTATGGGAGAGCCATGCTTCGGCATGAATTGGCCGGCTCGACCGGAGTGATACCCACGTCCTCACAGAAAACTGACGTAAAACAACGCTTGCGTTGTGTTTCGTCGTGTGAGTGAGGTTACTGGAGGCCCAATTACCTCCTCTCTCCAGTCTCCCCAATCCTTGAATCTCCAACAATCCTCAAATTCCTAATCCCCAAAAGGCCAATAACGCACTTGTAACGCCTTTGATGTTCCGGGTGTCCATGGGCGACGCCGACCATCAGGTGATCCGTACACTAGGCTACCGGCATTTCCCATAAAAAAATATTGTACAGTTTGCCAAATTATAGATATTTTATCTACCTTTTGGAGCAAAAACATAATCCCAATTTATACCATTTCTCAATTCAAATTCTGATTCTTTTTACAAAACGGTGGTTCAAGAATATCAAGGTAAACCCAATACAGATAAAAAATACAGCGTCGAAGTCAAGCGTACGTGATTCAAGCTGAATAACAAAATACTATTGTAGTGTGAAAAAAGGCAGACGAGCGAAACGTACCAGACAGGGCGACGACATTTATATGACTAGAGATTGTGTCATAGTCGCCTTACATCAGCGACATACAGTAATACAAGCTATACCAATCTGTGATTCTGTCATTGGATTTTAGGCTTTACATCAAAAGAATAAAGTTGAAATAGAATTTTGCGGAAAGAAGTAGGTTGAGGTGCTGTCGTTTGTACTACATGCCTAAGTCGGTGGTGTAACATGGAATGTAGGAATGTGTGGTTAGCTAGTTGGTGTTTAATTGTAATATTTGTCTGTCAGATATGAGGCAGCTGTTTATAATTAGAGTTGTAAATTATATTTTTTTTGAGTTCTGTCTGCTATAAGTTTTGTAGTAGCTTTTCAATGCTTTTCCATTGTTAATCGTGTAGATGTAAATAACAACTATCGAACAAAACGTCATAGCGATGTGGATTACTATATTAATGCGTTTTTACACTAATACAGTAAACGGAACGCTCCCTAAAAATGCAGACACGATGGCCAGAAACAAGGTAATATTTTTTTTAAAATAAGGAATTAAAAAATGATTTTTAATAGTTGTTATCAACAGCTTAAGGCTGGTGTTGTGTACACAAAAACTATTAAAATTGTAAAAATATTTTTCTTTGGTCAGCCTATTTTCGGGTGTGTTCCGTTAACGTGGCGTAAAAAAGGCATTAGTATATTCATTTTTACACGATTTCATTTTATTTACTCAAGTAAAAAGTCTGGACATTCTACTTATCCTTGACAATAAATAAAAACTCTTTTACAAAGTATTTAAACTGTCAAACACCAAGCGGTCACCGGTGACCGCAACCTATTGTTCTATAATTGTGTCTATAATGACGGTACTCAACGAGTCAAACCTAGTTCTATTAAATCAAGGATACCTACACTAGGGGACAAATATTCCACGACAAGTCAAGCGAAGCCTGCCGATTTCGCCCGACATAATTCTAAGGTGACAATGCGCGCCCTATGTCCACAGCGACGTTGATGTTGCCAATGCCAGATATGTCAACCAAAGTCTGGCAACGTCGCACTACTGCACTCAACGTCGCATGCGACACGTGTCGCAGTGTATCCTTGCCGTGTCGTGTCCAGAGGCCTTAGTACGAGTTTGATTTACGTTTAAAGTATTCGAAACGAGTATGCGTTCGGCACTCTGATTGGCCGGCGCCAATGAAGCAACCAATCACAGCGCCGAACGCGTACTCGTTACGATTACTTTAACTCGTCGAGTACCGGTTTTGTAGACACAATTATAGAACAATAGGTTGCGGTCACCGGTGACCGCTTGGTGTTTGACAGTTTAAATGTAAAACAAACCCGTACTAAGGCCTCTGGTGGCCCGGAGGTTTAAGCCGCACGCTTCTCACGTATGAGGGCGCGGAGTCGTAACTTACCAACAGCAAATACCAATGTGACTTTATCCGAGTTATATGTACTTTCTAAGCTTATTTAGACACCACTGACGAACGGTGAAGAAAAACATCCTGAGGAAAAGCTTATAATTTGTAATGCAAGTTTGAAATCCCCAACCCGCATTGAGCAAGCGTGGTGATTAATGCTCAAACCGCCGTGTGAGAAGAGGCCTTTACTGTAATATGCTGTTGATGTGATGTGTGTATCCTTAGCTTCAACCTTCGAAAACGGAAAACCAAACAATATTTTTGCACAACTCGACAGGAAATATATGACTACATATTACCAGTAAATTCCGGGCTTACAACACATTATCTTACTGTCTACTAACTCAACTATACTCATTATACTCTACGGGATTGTGTTTACATACGCAAATCACGTACGTAAACAACCAGGAACAAAAGGGTTTAAGCTTCTAACAAAATATTAGAGGAAACTACGTTTTGCCTGCAAATAACCTGTTTAGACTTCTGATAATTGGTGAAACCATTTAATAGGTATCTGTAATATTTGATTGCCTTGTGGGTCTAGTGATCGCAAGTGCGACAGTCGGGCAATGGGTTTCGGGCTCGATTCCCGGCAAAATAATACTGTTTTATTTTAATATCTCAGTAGTAGCACGGAGCCTGGAATTGTGCCCGGTATATGGCAATAAACTCACCCCCTATTAGTCCTATTACATGGGACTCATAACATAAATAGTGAAAAGTGGGTGTTACATTATACAGTGGCATTAAGTGCCGTAATGTACACCTCTGTCTACCCCTCCGGGGATCAAAGGCGTGACGTTATGTTATGCTGTAATATATGAATACTAAAGAAATTGGAGACTGTATTTGAAGCAGCCATTCTTATGTTTTGATACTGTTGTTCATAAAATGATCGGAAGTAAAATTATTTTAGAATGCTATTGGAATATAGTAAACGATGCAACGGAGACGACATTACTTTCTTTTATCTCGCCCGGTGTTAAGCCTTGATGCGGTCTACGATGGAGCACGTCGTCCCATAAGCAACCTATTCACTCGGATTAATTATTTCATTTCAAATTTACATACA